TTAATATAAATAATATATTATAAGAAATATATTTATATATATTTAGTTAAAAAAAAAATATTATTTTAAAAATAACTGAAACAAAATGAACTAATCTACTAAAACCTGTATTTGTTTTATCCAATCTTAATTTAACGACCTTTATGATTTAGGGAATAGGTGGTTCGTTCAATTGAACGCTTACTGTAATAATATCGAATTATTAGGGCTTCAACGCCGATTGGAATTGAAAAAAAGTTCGTTAAAAAACAAAATTAAATATTAAGAGTCAGAGATATATTTTGAGACTACAGTTTTAAGCTATAGTAGATTATTCTATTGTAGTACCTTTACAGCTGTAACGCTGTACCGATTTATTAGTGAGAGGCGGTTGAAATTCTTTATATCATATCGTATCGTCAAATATATATAACGTTTAAAATTCAATGTTAAACTGCGGTATTTATTATATAATCTAAATTATATTGAGCACTGACTGCGTGTAAGTATGTAGAAAAGGAAGTTATTTTATCATATCAATCCAGCTTAATAACGCAACTTTGTTATTTTAGAATGAATTTACTATTTATTGCAATGTTGTTACAATAGATGTGTAGTGTGTTGCTAGTATTGTTGTTTTTTTTTCAATTGTGTCTTTTTTAAATATATATCTATAAGTTAGACAATTTTGTTGTAAGGACATTATCAAAGACTAAACGCCTCTAAACCACTTTTATTGAAAAATTTCTATTCATTTAGGTAATCGACTGTGAAATGTATCCCACCCTTATAGAATATTGAGTCGTTCAGTTGAAATTATAAAAATATATTTTTAAGCTCAGCATATCTGTTTAACACAAACATTTATCTTATTTGTTTAAAGAGTGTGTAGTGCGATGTTCGCACAATTCTACTATATCAAAGTTCTATATTTGTCTACTTTAGTAAGTGATTCCGACAAATTTTTATAAATATTTTTTTTATATTATATTATTTATTTATTTCTAAATTCAAAGTTTTACTCTAAATTTATATCAGAACTTATTAAAGTTAATTACGATTTTCGATATTAGAATATATTGTATTATATATATGAATTTATGTACCACAATTAAGTGTAATATTCAGCTTTTTAGAATGACGCATTTATTTTTGTAAGATTTATTTACATGCAAATTAGTGGAATTTTATTATAGACAAATAATTGTGGCAAGATAATATACAAAGTTATCTTATTCTAGTACCTGTAATAATACAAACAAAATTTATAGTACATAATTTTAAATAATTGAATTGTAAAAAAAACTGTATTTATTAATGTTCAAGGTAACCAGATCATAGTTACTAATCTGAGTACGTCGATATACAGTGAAATACGTTTGAATAGTTTTAGCATATGCAAGTTGTAAATTAAAACTTAATAAAAGTTTGTAACTAATATAAATTTATATCATTATTAAATTGTGTTGAATTTACTTACACTTGACTTGTTCTGTGTTCAAAAGTCGTAAGCTTCAGAACTTGCTCTGATTATTTTTATATCTTAACATTGAATTTGCGTAGTAAGTTCAATTAAAAATTTTAAGTTTAAAATAAAAATTCAATTTTAAAGAAATATGCATACATAGTCTTTATAATAAAAAAATTATTTACCAACAATATGTTTAAACTGGTATTAATAAGTAAAGCTTAACCAAATAGAAGGCGTTGGTAGTAAGAAAAACAAAAACATAAAAATAGTTCAAATCTGGATATTTTAGGTGCAGCAATAAATGAAATCGTGAGATACCATAAATTATAATGTAAATATAAATGGTTATCTATATATCAAAGTATAATTATATGTATGTATATATTAAATGTGGTTTAATATGTGGTGATATGGAAAAACATGTTTTCAACTCAATAAAATAATTATTATATTCAGATTACTTTCCATTTTCAAAACTAGTTCAAAGTTGAGTTGAAATATACAATATTAATTGATTTATTAGTATTTAAAATTTTTATAGACGTCTTGCAATAAAACTTAAATAAAATTACTAATTAATGTTAATTAACTTTAAGTTAGTTAGTAGAACTATTAACTATGTTATTATTAATACTGCCAATTTATGCAAAAAATTTACTTAGTAGATTCAATTATGTCAATATATAGAATTCTTGTTTTAAGTAAAATATTTTATTAAGATATTTTTTTTTAGTTTCCAGTAATATAATTTTCTCAGGCACAAAACAGCAAACTCTGTTGGACGTATTTTTAATCTGCAAAATGTTTTATATGGTACCTGTTTTGACTGAAAACAAAATCACTTTTTCCTTTCATTTTGATTTATTTGTATCTACGAGTACTTTATGAAAGTAGTACTTTTAGTAATGTATGACTTCCTGTAGAAAAATGGAATGGATTTTAATTACTTTAAAATTTGAAATAATTTAAACATATATTTAGATGTCCATGCCAATTTAAAATGAATGGGTTAAAATTGTTCGATTTGCTACGCCTCAAACTTTCCAATATTTAAAAGCTATTAAATGAGTTCTTTTCAACATCGTAAGGTTGTCTTCGTAAGGTTGTATATTGTGTTTTTTAAACACAGAATAAAAGTTCTTGTTTTGAATTGTCAATATCAGAAAAAAAAGAACTACCAAATGTCATCATAATTTGGTTTCTAATTGTAAAGTAACAGTTAATGTTTCATTTGGCTGTTATTATGTTATTGGGTTTTAAAATTACAGAATTACCCGGACTAGAGTTACTGCTGATTATTTAAAAAAATATATATGTATATAATTTTTTAAATATATTAAAATTTAATAAATTTAGCAAATTATAATAAAAATATAATTCGAACAAATTGCTTTGTTATTATTATTAAGTTAGGATATTTCACCCTACGTCGTTGAAGATCTATTGTTCAACTTGCAATAATTCAGAGTATTTTTCTCAATGCTCCATAACTTAAAAGGTCCACAACTCCAAATATTTTCCTAATTTATTCATCAGTGTCGGGCAACCTCTCAGCATGTGTTGTACGTTCCGATTTTTTTCCCTTTAAATTCAACATAGCTACAAAGATCCACACATTCAAAGTTTTTTATAAGTGACTATTTAACGTACAGTCCGCTATAACCATTCTTAAGTTATTTGTATTTAGTTGTATATAATTCTGGATTAGCTTAATGGTCCGCGGTATTGATTGTGATCACCCTGATAAATTGGCTCAGTACGGTAATCTATATCTCTTAATTTTCTTCGAAATAATTACCTTTTTCTAAATTACAGAATGAATCTCTGGGCTTGCAAACAACAAAACTGTTCTTTTTTCATCATGTTTGTCTGTCATTTCGGTGTCAAAAATACCACAGAACCCATATTTCCTATTTTTGTTGTTGTAATAATAAAATAGATATTAGATAATTCGACTACTTATATGTAAAATTATTTATATTATCAGAAACCGTTTTTATGTTACTCGTGATTATTAATTTTCTTTCAGATTCGTTTAAAAGCAGCATCAAGTCTTGTTGAAATAAATTGACATCACTTTTAAAATATGTTAAATGTTTTTTTTAACATATGAAATATAAAAATTGTAGTTACTAAAAATTAATTAATTTAAATAATTAATAATTAATATTAATTATTAAATAATTTTTGTATTATATATTTAAATTAATTTATTATTTATGTATTTAAATTTATTATTAAATGTGAACATTCACAATAAATTGATTTTGAAATATGTTTGCACTAAAACTTAAGATGTAAGAATTTTTGCGAGTAAAACCTAACTCTGAAGATTTTAAAAGCATTGTTGTTGCTTTACACGTTTTCTTTCGTAAGTTGCGAGTCTTTTTTTGCTACTCTGTACGAAAAAAATACGGCTACTATAGACAGCAACGATAATATATTAATTCTAATACTAATATTTTAAAGTTAAAGGATCAAAATTGAATAATTTAAGTAACTAATGACAAAAACGAAATATTATAAAATATTTTTGTTGTAATTAACATAATTACGTAGAAAACATATCTTCTTTCTACCATCCGTTTGGTTCTTTCCTTCATTAGTAAAAAGTGCCGCAAATTGCTTGTTCATAGAAACTTCTTTTTCTCTTCACAAATTGGCAATTTTGATTAATGAGCTTGTAAACTAAAACTAATGAGGAAACATTTTTTTAAAATTGAATTGAAGACAAAACATAAGGTCCAAGAAAAGGATAAGAGCAGAAATTTCAACGGCTTATGCAACGTTTACCGAACTTTGAAATATGTACAGTGGCCAATAACTGGACATATTCGTATTTTTTTTATGTGAAACCACACCGAACGTTTCAGAAAACTAAAGTAAATTGAGAAAAAAAATAATCAAATTGGTATGACTAAAGGAATTTTGATTAGGACCACAACATTGCAAGTGAATTTTAGTTAAACGCGCGTTGGATTTTGAAAAATGTGTTATTCCTTTGGCTCGTTGTTGTGGTCAGTGACTTAAAACCTTAAACCATTAAAGCCTGACTTCTTTACTTGCCCTTGCATCTTTGTCCGTTTAGGTTTCTTTGATTTGCTTCTCTTGTTAAATATGCCAAAAAGTAATTTTAAATATTCTAAAAATGTTTATCCAATTAAGGTGCTACTTTTGTACCTCGATTATGTTTACTCAGCACAGATAGCATTTAATGCGTATTTTGGTGGCTTCTTAAGTGAAGAAATAGATTATGGTTGCATATGAGTAAAATTCGTAAAAAAAAGGATTTTATTATATGTGATTATTTATCATATAAATAGAATGTAATAATATTTCAAAATAGTATAAACATTGTTACAAGTTAGCGATTGTATAAAAAATAAATTATATATTGTAAGAAATATAAAATTATGAGTAAAGTCATTTAATACTTGGAATAGATATTTATAGATTACTTATAAGGTTGTTTGTAATTTTTGAGTAAAATTTATCAAATTTATAATTTGAATTTATTATAATTTATTTGCTTTCTTTTCTTTACTTGCAGAGGGTCATCTTATAAACACAAATTGCTCTCAGGGACATTTTCGCAAGGCTTTGTGTTGCAAAATGTCAGCTGAATTGGATGTGTTTTTAGAGAGCGGGAAAAAGTAAGTTAAAATTTTTTATATATTTATTTGTATTACTTAATCTAGATTTAGTAGTGAGTAATTTGTTTCATAATTTTTCAAATAATTTTTCTTAAATAAAGTACAGTGCATATTTTTGCGATATCAGTGCCTTTGCTGGTACTAGATTTTGTTGAAGTGCACTTTTATTAACTAACAGACCACATAGAGTGCAGCATTCATAACTACTGTGGTTTTTATTGGACTTAAAGTCAACTTATTGTTCTCCTTACTTAAACTGAAGCATTTGCAGGTTTCATTTTTTCATTTCAAGTTATTCTGTACTAGACGAAGCAAATGAAAAAGATAATAATTGCAAGAAAAAACTTAAGTAGACCACAAAAGGACACAAATGAGATATTTTTTCATATTTTAATCTTTGCTAGCAAAATCTGTCATACTGACTTTAGGACTTAGGCCAATGGTAACTTGATATTTAAGTATACAAATGCCTTTGTGGCTAACAATGTACCAACATAAGACACCAGTTTCGAATGCATGTAGGATTTATTTGTAATTTAGAACACATACAGTTGTCGGAAGGAATTTCATTGCAATTAAAAATTAAATTTTAGAAAATTTTTAATTAAGTATTTAACGTAATCATATGTAAAGCAATAGATTCTGTTTGCGATTTTAATGAAACTTCAATCACTTAAATTCTTATTAAATTGTTTCTCATTAATATCAACTATAAAACCTTATCCCTTTCTTTTTTCATTTTATGTATTTGCTGTAGTTTAATTCAACTATTGTGAAAAATTTCTCATATTCAACTATTGTGAAAAATTTCTCATATTCAACTACCTTGGAACTAAAATAAAAATTTTAAACCGCTACAAATGAAAGGTTTCAAACTTTTTCCTGGTGAACGTAAATACAATCTTAGAAATAGAAGCAATCAACCGAAGTAGGACAAACCATTCGTCCACTTTGAAAACAATTCTGTGGAATTATTCGACAATTTTACGAAAATCTAGAAGCATTTAAAGAGCAACTTACTATATTTGTTTCGTCTTGGGTGGAGTAGTTGAAAAGTTCTTTTGTTCAATTGAATTTAATTGCTGAGTAGTGGCAATTTTATCTAAGAAACACGTGTTTATTTAATTGAAAAGTTGTAATGAAAATTGTAAGTTTATTATTTCAAGTGTGTGTAAAGTGAACGGAGTTTTACTTGCCATTTACGTCATTTGACTTGTTACACACACTTATGTGGTTCCCCCTTCTAATTGAATTCTGAAAATAATAAAAGCTTCAATTACTGTAGGTGACATTATAACATTATTCGCACCCACACGATGTACCTAATAAAGCTAAGACGCATGAATCACCTAATTTTATATAAATTGTTAGCAGTTGCAACTTGAAAGTCCGTTAATTGAATACGAAACAATTAAGTAACTTAAATAAAAAGTAAAAGTTAAATTAGTGTTTAATTGTTGTATTGTGATAAATTAATTTTTTTTTGCTGAATTATATTAGTGTAAATAAATTTTAAAAATATTAGTAATCTTTTGAAAATTTAAAACAAAAACAAGACATTAACATAACATTAACGCTTTTATTAAACGTCAGCGATAACAGAATATATAATACAATAGGGTTTTAGGGGTCTAGTAGCACAGTTGACCACAAAGCTCTTTTGTGCTCAGTACTAAACTTTACCAAATAGGAAGTTATGTAGGTTTTCGTAATAAGATGTACTGTATAATTCTTAATATCAGACGGGGACTCTGGACTTCATATCATTTAAAGGAAGTCGTCGCTTTTTCGTCTTTCTCTAAATACAGACAACTCTTTTCCAACTCCGACAGAAATAATTTCTTGGAACTTTCTAAAAGTGAAAGTTGTCAAAGTTGAAGAGTTAATTTGCCAACAGCCTCAGTTTTATCTTACTGTGTAGCGGTTTTTCTTTATATATAATAGCAGGCATCAGTTCTTTGTCTTTGTTATTATTTTTGTGGTCATGACATTAGAGATTTTGTTGAATATTTTTCCATCAGAAACTAAGTTGTGAACATAATTATTATAGAATGAGTCAATGTTCCGCAAATTTGTGTGAGTGCATGAGTTCTTGCAAAAAACAAAAAAGATACTAACATAAATATACTCCATTTAAACACCAATTTAGATATAGAGTTCTGTATATTTACAGTTAACCTCTGACATATTTGTTATATATTTTGCCCAGTGCTCAGTGGCGGCAAGGCGTCTACTTGACTACCTTTGAAGGGATCTTAGTCCCAAATTAAATAGGTAAAATCAAGCCTGCAGCTATTACGAGAGTTATAAAAATCTAAAATTGTTTTAGTTGGGCTTTTAGGCGCACAATAGATCTCTTAGGTCTGGGTGTATTTATAGCTTATTATTTATTAGTCATAATAAGAAAATTTTTTTATGTTAAAGTAAATGTTTTAATTTTTGTCATGTCACGATTGATGCATATTGATTGTTGATTTTATAATATATTCAGTTCTAGAATAAAGTAAAACAGTTATGGGTTATATTATGCTAAATATGACTTTGTTAGTTAGATATTTAAACGCATCTTGTTTTTATTGTATAATATTGATTTTCTGAAGAGATACGTGTGTGTCATTTCTCTTCATTTAAAAAAATATCAGTTTTACTTCCAATTTTATCACTGTAAATAAAAACTTTATTTATGAGTCTTATTTTGAGTAATTTATTTAATAATAACGAACTAAACTCATTAAAATTAAAGTTGCTTTTGATATTTAGTTTTTTTTTTATTATTTTAACATATTAAGGTTACTGTATTAAAACTTAATATATACAACTTAAACCTAAACTTAAAACCTAAAAAAAAACTCTTATGAGAGAAACTAGATTTTCTTATAACATATAGATATATATATATCTATATATATATAGATAATTATAGGTTTTAACAAATCTATAAAATATTTCGATAGTTACAAAAATAGTTGATAGGATTTATATAATTCAGTCCTAAAAGCAGTCTGTGTTTCCATTAATTGAAACTTGATGAAAAAATTGTTTAGATTTTATGTACTCATGTGTATTTAAAATGAACTTTATGTTAGCAATAATAATCACTGCTCTACTTGAGAGTAATTTACTTAAAAGCACTAGCAAAAAAGACATTAAATAGCATTTAAATTGCAAATATCTAAATTTACTTTCAAAACTACAAATTATGAAATTAATGACCATCACGTTGGAATAGAAATAACACTAAAATGAAATAAAATACTAAATCCTATCACTGTTAATGCAGCTGCATGCGTTACAATTTCAACACCCAGCAACTTCACAATTTCTTTAAGATCATAAAAACTTCCAAGCAAATATAAAACTTACAGCAAATAACTTTATCGATAAAGGCTAATAAATTGTAAGGCAAATGAAAAAAAATGTGAGGAAAAATGTACGTACTGCTAACATTGCAAAATAACATAAAATTATAATTATTACTGCACTGACACGCATAGATATTTTTACTTTTAATGCTGGCAGCAGCTAGACGAGCAGCGAAAATTATGACCAATCTGCCATATCTTAGCTAACAAATGTGTTCGTACGGCTAAAATCCAACTTGTGATGATTCAGAGCATTGGAACAAGTTTTTGCTTATTAAGTGAGTTCAGTTTCAATTTCAGAGCCTCAGACTCGAACTGTCATTATATGCAGTGAACATGCAATTGAGCGTTAAAGCGAACACTGCACAATGCATTGACAATCGTCTTGACTGTGCTCTAATATCACCAAAGAAGTGTAGAAGTGCGGAACTGCTGGACGGAATTGGTTGCAGTAAGCTGATGTGTGGAGTATTTGCACGTCAAACCACCATAGTCGGATTGTTAGCCACTCGGTTGACTGTGTGGTAATAAAAATCAAAGTTATGGAATCGAATCAGTTGTTTGACTACCGCCAGAAGGTAGATGCATGTACTCTTATGCACCCGTAGAACTCGTAAAAATTGTCAGATTGGAAAAATGCAGCGACGTGCGCCAGGCCTTGCTCGACCCCAACAAGGGAACTGGTTGGAGTGGAAGAAGCTGGTGTGTAAGAGAACTACAAAAATATAGCAAAAATATTACAGAAAATACTGAAAAATGAGTTATAAAAATTTTTATTAAAGAAGGTTAATTAACGTGCTCGAAACTTGTAATTATTGGTGAGTTGTGGCTGCTTGTAATGCTGTAGTACTTTTCGAAGAACAAGTTCAAGCTACAATACTCGTATATACGAACAAAAAATATGTATTTATATATGTAACGAAAAGGCGTTCTTTATACAAGAAGATAAATTAACATAAATTTAATTTATTTCTAAAATAATGAATGAGCAATTATTGCGGCTGTTTAAATTATGAATTTACAATAAATTGCATGTAACAATAAATTGCATGTAACAATATTTATTGAGAAAAGAAATGTTAAAAATGACTTTTTCGAAATTGCTTAATAAATTTTGAACCTGACAATAAATTCTAAAACACATAACTCTGATGATAGATGTTTGTCAGTATTCGAAACATCTGTTGATTATCCATTTTGTTGTGCCTAATATTTTTTGACATCGGTTTTATAATATTATAACATTTCATTACTTAAATAAAATTCATGACAATATGGTATGGTAAATACTCCATTAAATACACCCTTTAATAAATTTACTATAACATACAGTACTCAATATGAAGCGATCGGGTTGAGCCTCAAATATCTTCAAAGTGTACATGTACATGACACAATATAAATCTATTTAACAGACTTACAGATAAATATTTAATTGTGGGAGGAATATTTTTTTTAAAAGCTTTGAAGTATGTACAGAGTTTCTAACTACAGAGAAGACTTTTTTGATATTTTCTCGCAGTTTAATTTTTGTTATTCATACGTTTTACTGTTGCTAAATTTAAGCAACGCATTATGGTTTTTTCTTGATCTAATGGCAGCACTGGTTTCATATCTGCTACAACTTTACTACTTAAA